ATTAAGTTGTGGGAGCAGTCTTCTCTCAACTCCTGAGAGATCACGAGCAACATTTCTTGCAACCACAAGATGCGTCTCAGAGAACCATGCCATATTAACTGAAATAATTCACTATTATAATTAGTATAAAATTAAAATATTGATGGTAAAATACAAAAACACACATTCAAATTATCATGCATGAAAAGACATTCATACATATGTAATATGATAGAATCATAATCTAGATTTAATGTAAGATAGATACTAACTCGTAGCTGCTATGAGAAGAACAGTGAAAACAAAACCCATCTTAAGCAAAGCCATGCTAATTAGGAACAATAATTTAGGCTTTGGGAAAGTTTTGATGCAAGTGTGACCTATTGTCTTTCAAATGGTGTAATTTATAGACTTCTCATGTACATTTTATATTCAAATAGGTATTTCGCTTTGCATGTGATTGCCATCTTGCAATAAATGAATATAACACCTCATGATTACTTAATCCACAACTTGGATATAAGAAGTTTAATTAGAAGCACATGTAATTTATCATAAGTGTATCATAGGGGTGTACATAGACCGGGTTAGTTCGATTTTTATCAAAACTGAACCAAGCCAGCTATATCGGTTTGGATTGGTTTGGATTTGTTGGTTTCTTCGGGTTTTTCGGGTTTTTGTTACATGAATATTATTTCAATCTTACTTCATTAAAGTTATACATAAAGTTTTGATAAGTGAATATATGTTCAGTAAAAATTAAAAAAATTGACAAACATATGGAGAATTTTAATAAGTTGCGAAACATCGAAAAACGTAATATAAGTAGGAGTAAATTGCGCTTCTCGTTTGCTCCAACTAAAAAAAAATAAGTTGACTTGATTTCAATCTTGTACTCAATTGATTTAAGTTAGTAAATTATAAGATGAACCAATCCGTACCCTATTGCAATTTGAATTTCCTCTCCCTTTTTTCTTCAAAAAATTAGTATATCACGCAATTAAGAAATTAAAATTAAAGCTTAAATCTTTAATTCTTTTAACAAGCTAATAGCTATGTTCTTAGAAATGCACCTAGCACATGTTTATAAATTTTGTTTTAAATTTGAGGAAACGACTCGAGGGGAAGCAGCTTAATTTAATGAACTTAATTCTTAATTTAATTTTTTATTCTTCTAGTTTGGATTTAAAGTACAAATTTTCATTATAACTGCACGTGACATGTTCACAAGAACATGTGACAAACATTGGAAGATGTGTAAAAAAAAATTATTTTCCGCTCTTTAATTTTTGACTGCCACTTGCCTCATTAGCAAAATTTCAGGGTCAAAAGATAAAAGTATTTGCTCATGAACAAGCGAGTAACACTTATTAAACTTGAAGTTCTATCCATGGATCAATCGGGAACAAAAATTCAAGGCCATCCACTTTGAGGGCTACTTGTATACTTCACTCCTTCTCAACCTAC